GCGCGCGTGCGGCCCCGGGCCGCCGCCGACTTCCGGCCGCTGCCATTCGCCCGCAGCGAGGCCGGCGGGGAGGGGCCGGCCAGGTATTTTGGCTGGGGGCGGGGTGGGGCTGTTAGGTTTTTACGAAAGGGGAAAAGCGAAGGCCCTCCGGAGGAAGGAGGCGCGGCGGAGCCGTTCCTCGGCCGACCCGGAGCCGACGCACCTCCCGGCAGGTGAGAGTGTGGAGCGCGGGGCCGCGGACCCCCGCGCCGGCCGAGGCACCGCCTCCCCTGGAGTCCCGCGGTGCTGCACTTCCTCCAGGCTCCGGGACATTTGCAAAATCCCCCAAATTCTTCTCACTGGGACCTGCCCTTCCCCCAACCCTTGCGCCCCCCCACCCCCCGACCCTGAGGCAGCAAGTTCTCTGCGTTAAGGAGGGGCGGACGGCCGAGTGGCGCCTCTGATCACCTGGTCGAGAGCGCATTTCCGACTCCTTGGCCTGGACCCAGGCCCAGTGAGTCTGGCGCTCCTCGGTGGGGCCGGGAATCAGCATTTTTTGGTGAATTTTCTGCTAGTAACTCAAAATACTAAGGTCCAGGAATCAATGATTGCTCCAGGACCCTGAAGTTGAGCGGTCCTCCATCCAAATCTGGGTCATGCCATTTTCTAGCAGTGTGTAAGGCTTTTTGGTTGGTTTGGTAGTGTTTTGTCCGGTTTTGTTTTGTTTTTCAATTTTTGTCTTTTTGAGACAGGGTCTCACTATGCGGTTCAACTCACTGTGTAGTCCAGGCTGATCTCGAACTCGCAACCATCCTCCTGCCTCAGCCTCCCAAGCACTGGGATTACAGGCCTGCGCCACCACTCCTGGCTGTCGGTTTTTTTAAGATGAGGTTTCATTATGTTGCCCAGGCTGGCCTCGAACGCCTGGGTTCATGGGAGCCTGAGGAAGAGTGAGCTGGGTCAGGGTGCGGTATGGGTACTTGTTGCCTAACTGGAAAATACCTGCTTAATGTCCCTGGGATCCTTGGAGAAACAGTAGAAGCCACAGCCTCTTCTTTCCGGAAGTCTTGAGGCCTTCAGGGTACTTAATGGGAGCACTCAGCTGTCAGCACCCTCCTGAACCGGGCAGCGGCCTTGGGAGAGGGCAGTTTGGGGCCCACTGGCAGCGCACCCCCGAGTGGTGCCTGCAACCTGTGGGGAAGCTCCAGGAGCAGGCGGCCTCCTGCAGAGAGGACAGAGAAGCCAGCCTCAGGTGTGGGGTGGCACTTCCTTGCTCTCTACCTGAGGTGGGACATTCACTCCGGTCGGTTATTTGTAGACCTCTCCTGCAGAGGCGTCCAACACTTAAGACCCCAGGCTAGCCCACAGTTGCACCTCCAGCACCCCCTTGCCTAGGCCTGCCTAGAGCAACTCAGCCAGCACAGGCTGCCTCTAACTTTGACTAATCCCACTCCTCCAGGGGATTCAGTGTGCTCCAGTTTTAGAGGGAAATGAGCCATCTTCCTCTTGCCCCAGGAACTTTGTATATGCAAATCCTGTCTGAAATCTACTTATCTTTGACCCAAGAAAATTCTAAATCTTTCTTTAGAACCCAGCTCCAACACCGCTTCCTTAAACATTCTTGACTCGCACCTACCCCAGCAAGTCAAGGCATCCATCCTCTCTCCAGTCTCATGGAATGTTCAGTTCCTTCTCGTTTCAGTTTGTCATGAGATCTATGAATGTTAGCGTATGGATGCATTCATACAGTGGCTGCTGTAATCTGGAAACAAAGAGTTTCATCACCTCGCCCCCAAATCTCTGTTCAACTATCCCCCACCCCTGATCCCTGGCAACTGCTGCTCTGTTCTCTGTCGCTGTAACTGTCTTTTCCAAACGTCATAAATGAAAGCGTACAGTTCTGTGATTTCACACAACTTAATGTCTTTGAGCTTTATCCATGTGGTTGCAGGTATCACGCGGTCATTACTTTCATTAATAAATTGTATTTCACTATGTGAGCATGTAAGAAGTTTGTTTATCCATTGTCCTATTGAAAGACATTGGATTTTTTTTTTTCTAGTTTTTGGCCATTATGAATAGAACTGCTATAAACTTTCATTTACAGGTTTTTGTGTAAACAGAAGTTCTTATTTCTCTGGGATAAATAAGCAAGAGTGAGATTTCTAGGTCATACGGTAAGTGTAGGTTAAAAATTAATTTTAACACTGACAAACTATTTTCCACAGTGGCTTTACCATTTTGCATCTCCAGCAGAAAGTTTCCAGTTCCACATCTTAAGTACTTAAAATTGTTAGAATTTTTTATTTTACCGTTCTAATAGGTATATAATGATATCTCCTTGTGGTTTTAATTTGCATTTCTCCAATAGCTAATGACGTTGAACATCATGTGTTTGCCATCTGTACATCCTCTTTAATGAAGTGTCTTCGGGTCTTTTGCCTGTTTTTGTACTTGAGTCATCTATTTTTTTACTGTTGAGTTTTAAGAGTTCTTTATATATTCTAGATACAGTGCCTTTGTCAGAAATGTGATTTGCAAATGGAATCTCCACTTTATCTTGTCATTTTTTTTTTGAATAGAGTGCCTTTCACAGTGCAAAAGCCTTTCATTTTTTTAAAATTTTTATTATTTATTTATTTATTTTTGTGGGTACCGGGAATTGAACTCAGGACCTTGTGCCTGCCAAGCAGGCGCTTGTACCACTGAGCTGCATCCCTGGCCCAAGCCTCTCATTTTAATGAAGCCTAATGTATCAGGTTTATCTTTTATGCGTCAAGCTTCTGATGTTAGAACTAAGAATGCTTTGCCTAACCCCAAAAGCATGAAGATTTTCTTTTCTAAAAACGTGTGTATATTTTTATGGTTTGTTGTTAGGTATGTAAATGTTTATAATTATTTTATCTTTTTGCTATATTGAACATTTTATTAATATACAATGCCCTTTTGTCTCCTTTAACCTTTCCTGTTGAAAGTCTTATTTTGTCTGTGCTCTTTTGATTCCTATTTGCATGGAATATCGTGTGTGTGTGTGTGTGTGTGTGTGTGTGTGTGTGTGTGTGTGTTTGAATCCAGAGCCTCATTCATGTTAAACATGTTCTGCCACTGACCTACATCCCTGGGCCCTGAAATAGCTTTTTCTAGTTTTCACTTTTAGACTATTTGTCTTCGAATCTAAGGTGAATCTCTTACAGACAGCATATAGTTGGATCGTATTTTTTTTTAATGCATTTTGATGTTCTATTTTGTTCTTGTTTCCTGTGCTGGGCCTTCATACTGAGCTATATCCATAGCCCTTTTTATTTTTTATTTTGAGACAAGGCCTTGCTGTGTTACCAAATTGCTCAGACTGGGGTTGAACTTCCATTCCTTCTACCTCAGCCTCCCAGAGTGCTGGGATTATAGGCATGAACCATGGTGCCTGGCTCCAATCCATCTTTTGATTGGAGAGTTTAGTCCGTTTACATTTAGAGTAATTACTGACAGGGGGGGATTTCACTCTGTCATTTTGCTGTTTGTTTTCTAGATGCCTATATTGATCCTCATTTCCTACATTACTACAGTAGCCCCCCCTGCAATCTGCCAGGAATATAGTATCTTTCAAAACCCCCAGTGGATGCCTAACACCAGAGATAGTATGAAAACCATGTATACCATGTTTTTTCCTATACATATCTAACTGTGATAAAGTTTAATTTATAAAGTGGGCACAGTAAGAGATTAACACTGGTAATAAAATAGAACTGTTATAACAATATATTATACAATCGTAACATCTCATTGTACTATAGTTACCATTGTACTGTAGTTAACTATAGTTTACCTTTGTGATGCTGAGATGACACAGTGCCCCTGTGATAAAATGAAGTGAGGTGAATGATGTAGGCACTGTGATGTAATGTTAGGTTACAGTGTGAGGGTTACTCTAACACAAGCATTGGGGTAACTGCCGTAGTTGATCACAACCAATCAATCACAGTCAGTCATAACCAAGATAGGTAGTAAGTGACTAACAGGCACGTAGCATATACAAGGTGGATATGCTAGACAAAAGGATGATTCATGTCCTGGACAGGATAGACCAGACAGTGTGAGATTTCATCATGTTACCCAAAACAATGCATAATTTAAAACAAATGAGTTAACAATGGAATTTTTTCTTTTAGCATTTTTAGACCATACTTGACCACAGGCAACTGAAATTACAGAAAGCAAAACCACAGATAAGAAGGGACTACTGTATTTTGAATTTCTCTAGTGAAATGTTTAAATTCCTTTCTCATTTCTGTAGCTATTTTCTCTATGGTTACTGTGGAGATTACAGTTAACGTCCTAAAGTTTTAATACCTTTGTTTTGCTTTGTTTTGTTTTGTTTTGTTTTGTTTGTGAGACAGGGTCTCACTATGTAGCCCAGGTTGGCCTCGAACTCACAGGGATCCTCCTGACTTGGGCTCCCGAGGACTGGGATTACAGGCATGTACCACCATACCCGGCTCTAAAGTTATAATGCTCTTATTTTAGTATCTGCCACCCTAACTTCAATAATATGCAAAAATTCTATTAATTTATAGCTTCAACCCACCTTTTTCATTGTTAGTAGCACATAATTCGTCTTTATAATGTGCCCCCAAATAAACTAATAAGTCTTTTAAATGTGTCAGTTTCTTATGCAGACAACAAAATGTGGAATTATAAACCAAAGTTATAATAATACTAGCTTTTAGATTAATTTTTAATTAGTCTCTTAAAGCATGGAGAAAACAAATTGGGGGTGCAGCTCATTGGTAGGGTATATAATTGTATGAGGCCCTGGGTTCAATCCTAGTATACCCTAAAATTTTTTTGATATTCTGTGTTGTTTTTTTTTTTTTGTACCAGAAATCGAACTGAGAACCCCAGGATTGCCAGGCAGGCACTGTGCTGCTGAGCTATAACCCCGGCCCTAAAAATTTTTTAAATCATACAGAAAACAATAAGTTGAGGGGCTGGGGATTTAGCTCAGTGGCAAAAGCGCCTGCCTGGCAAG